TTAACATATTCTCAATATATTTCATTATTCCATATTAATACCAGAATGAATGCCTTCTTCCTGAAGGAATTAACTAAATACCAACCAATTAGCGAAGATTTGAGTGTTACAAGGAATTCTATGCGTTTCCGAGGTATTGATGGATTTATTGCTGCTGTTAGTCCTTTCAACTTTACCGCTATTGGTGGTAATTTGGCCTATACACCAGCTTTATGGTAAAGTAATGGATTCAGCTTAACTTAGAATTACAGAATAATAATTTATATCTATGTATAATCATGTTATTCAACTTTATTGATACAATACTTCTATACTCATAAATTTTGCTTACATAAACATTTATTGAGAAGTACATTAGTAACAGTTGTTTCTTGAAATATGATTAGAGTAACATATTTTGTGTTGTGATTCCAATTAATCAAATAGAAAATTAAGTCTTGCAAATGATTTGAACATCCAGTTTCTTATTTAAAAGTATGCATATCTTTTATTACAAAAGTGTGAAAATAGTTGACTGTTTTAGGGCAATGGTGTATTATGGAAACCATCAGATACAGCTTTACTGTCAAATTGGATCATATTCAAGATCATGCGTGAGGCTGGTCTTCCACCAGGTGTTGTCAACTTTATCCCTTGTGATGGTCCTGTATTTGGTGACACTGTCACTGCCTCTCCTCATTTAGCTGGCATTAACTTCACAGGATCAGTACCGTTAGTATAAAAAAAACTTTCTTTACCTACTTTTAATAATAATATATTTTAATTATGTGAATTTTTTTTCAAAGTACTTTCAATCGTTTGTGGACTCAAGTGGGTCAAAACATTAACTCATACATCAACTTCCCACGTTTGATTGGAGAGTGTGGTGGTAAGAATTACCACTTTGTTCACCCATCAGCCGATGTAGCATCTGTAGTGGCTGGAACCATTAGATCAGCATTTGAGTTCTGCGGACAGAAGTGCTCAGCATGCTCTCGTGCCTACATACCTGAATCTCTGTGGCCAAAGGTAATAGAAAGTCATAAATAAATTATTTGAAATAAGTAAAGGATAAATTTTGATTTGAAATTCAATTTATCTAATCTTGTAGATCAAACAAGGTCTTCTCTGCACCAGAGACACATTGAAAGTAGGTGATCCCAAAGAATATGATACATTTATGGCAGCCGTTATTGATGAGAAGGCTTACTGCAGAATAAAGGGTTACATAGACCATGCTTGCAAATCAGAACATGTAGAAGTACTGGCTGGTGGTAGATGTGATGATAGGTATAACTTTAATATTATTTTTTAATTATATTGTTAACAAGCAATAATAATGAAAAAGTTGAAGCATTTGTGGTTAACTGGATGCTCTTCACATCTTTTAAGCTCTAGCAATTAGACTTATGCATAAAGCCAGTTTCAAACTATTTGTAGTCTAATTAATTCCTCTTTTTTGATGTGCATGTAGTGTTCTGGATGGTATAAACAAGCATTAATAAATAATCTTTCAAATTTAATGGTACACTAATCTTTTGCTTTGAACATTTTTTTCCAACTACTTCCAAATCTACAACAACAAACTCCCAGTAAATTATCAGCTGTTACAATTATAATATTAGAAATTAATGATTTGTTATAGTATAGTTTAAGTTTGCTATAATTATATTGCTATATAATAAATATGCAATGTTTTTCATAAATTTACTTTTTATATTATAATAATATGCTAGTTTTAGTGTGATCGTTCTATTGATTATTATATTTTTGCCTAATTATTATTTTTAGCACCGGCTATTTCATTGAGCCTACCATTGTGCAAACCAAGGATCCCTACGATAAGCTGATGACTGAAGAAATATTTGGCCCTGTGTTGTGCATTTATGTATACCCGACAAAGATGTGGAAAAACCTTGCAGTTAGTAGGAACTTCCACCAAATTTGCTCTGACTGGAGCTGTATTTGCTAAGGATGAGTAAGTTTTATTTTATGATTAAATATAAGAACTATTTTTTTGTTTTTATTTGAAATTTGGAGAGCTTTCCATAAATCTTTTTTGTTTAAGTTCATGGTTGCTTTTACGATGCTTGTATTAATATTTCCAGTTATTTTAGTTTGATAGTTAAGTGGATTTAATTAAAATTTAATACTTTTTAATCCAAAGATGGTTTTATTAGATCTTGATTCTTTTTGTATACTTTTTTGTTTCTTTGACATACTTAATCTAACTTGGAGTTATCTTGCTCCAAAATTACTTACTAAATTAAAGAAGAATTGACGTCAAAAATAAATGATTTGCTCAATTTATTTCTATTTCATAGAAAATTATGGAATTAGTCACTTAAATATGTAAAATTAAAAAAAATGATATGGAATTTAATGTTATTTTAATTTTAGGGCATTCTTGAAACATGCTTTAGAAGAATTGAAAATGACAGCTGGCAACTTTTATCTTAACGATAAATCTACTGGATCTGTTGTTGGACAGCAGCCATTTGGTGGTGGTAGAATGTCAGGTAAATAAACATAAATTACTAAGCCTCACGCATAATCTTGAATATGATTAGTAAAGTAAAGCTGTGTCTGATGGTTTCCATAATACACCATTGCCCTAAAACAGTCAACTATTTTCACACTTTTGTAATAAAACATATGTGTACTTTTAAATAAGAATCTGGATGTTCAAATCATTTGCAAGACTTAATTTTCTATTTGATTCTTTGGAATCACAACACAAAGTATGTTACTCTAATCATATTTCAAGAAGCAACTGTTACTAATGTATTTCTCAACAAATGTTTATGTAAGCAAAATCTATGAGTATAGAAGTATTGTATCAACAAAAGTTGAATACATCCATGATGAAATATTAAACATAGTTAATGTGCTACTTCTAAATATTGGTATTTATATCATCTATCCCCCAGGTACTAATGACAAGGCTGGTGGTCCCCATTATGTCTTGCGCTGGACTACTCCTCAATCTATCAAGGAGACATTGTTCCAATCACATGTGTCGACTATCCATACATGAGAGAATAAGCTGCCAAATCCCCCCCAAAGCACCCACACCATAACAATAATTCAATGGACACTAAACCAAAGATGCGTGTTACAAATACTCTGTTCAAGATCTCGATCATAAAATTTGCACACAGTCCGGTTCACTTTTGATTTCTATTATTCAGTAACTATTTTATCTTTACCGCGCACTTGGAAAATAACAGGTGAATCAAAGAAATTGATTTTAGTAATTATTTTTCTTGTTATATAAATAAAAGAATATTATAGTAACATTTTGTCCATTAAAAATATTAATTTTACCTAGGAAGCAATATCAAGTATTCATTCAAGTCAAATTTGAAGACATTTATTAAAAATCGATGTTGACCATTTATTAAATAGATTTATGAAAATTTATTGTTGATATTAATTTTATCCATACTTTTACCCAGTATTTTATTTTATGATAAGTTATTTTATTTCAAAATATGATTTGAAAAAGAAAGTTATATATCTTTATAGTGAATATTTATAAATTGTGGCTCAGTAAGATTTATTGATGTACTTGTGCAAAAGCAACATTTTGACATTATAGGTTTGGAAATTGAACTAAATTCAATTATAAAAATATTATTAATTGGTAAACTTACAATATTGAACATGTTTAATTTTATATTCCATGTTTAGCAAAGAAGCTACTAATTAAAACAATAAATAAATACATGCGCAATCATCTCTTTTGGTTGTGCATGAAGTGTGATCATTAAATTATAAGTATTCTCAAGTAAGATCTGAAAACTATATCAAAAATGTATAATTAAACTAAAAATATATATTTATTTATAAATATTTACTATAGCGACAATAAACAATTTTTAATATAAATGAGTAATGTATAAGTTGAGTTTTGCTCGTGCGAATGTTTATTGTTTATAGAGATAATAAAGAATTATGTTAATGAAAATGAAATGTAATTGAATATTGCATTAAATAAATTAACTCTGGGTTAGTTTAAAACTATGTATGATTTGAGACACAGCAACAGCTGTTGCTTGATTTATATTTGTCCATACAGTTGGTGTGTATAAAAGACGACTGAATGAAGTTAAATTGTTCAGATTAATGTATTAAAGTAGTTAAAAGTTAGCTTGATGTACTAAAGATGTCATGCTGTATAATTTATTTCAACAAATTCACTGTTTGTAAGATGCTAAAAGTAGTAAGTGACTACTCTCACTGTCAGTCAGTAACAACATTGATATCAGTGTAGTGAATAAATAATAAGGCACTGGTGTTTTACTGTGTAAATTGTGTAAATAGCATTATATTAATATATTGAAAACAAGTACTGAAAATTGTAAAGTTAAAGAAATATTAAAGTTGTGTATATTTCAAGAATAGGGTTTTATTCATTAACTAAATCAATCCCTCAGTCTAGATGTCAATATAACAGGTAATATAACAATTTGTTTATTCTAATTTTATGGAAGACAGAATTTTAATGTTTATGAAGGCACAATTAGGTCAATGTTTACTGCAGAAAACACTTTATGGCTAGACAATTATAAAATACACTCAAACCATTATACGAACTAGAGGTATAGCCTGCTTGTGCCTTCATTTGTGATCACAGTTCTAAAATGCACTTATCACAACAGATCTATAAATTTTAATCGAGTTTAATTATTCTACAAATGCATCTGGTTTCTTAAACTGAAATCTTAAAATTATTTTTCAATTTTCACAAGTCGAGCATTAGTAAATTGGGGATTTTCCAAATATTTTTCCATTGTGTTGAAAGTTCACCATTGTCGCTCCATCAATAACTCTGTGATCTGCACACCAACTAACAGTTAGAATATGAGCTTTTACAATTGATTCACCATCGGGTCCAAACCGTGGCAACACCTAATAAAAAATTAACTTATTTAAAATATTTTATATACAATGTTATATTAGAATTTTTCAAAAATGATACAAACCTGTGCTTTACCAATTGCTCCAATAGACACTTGCGGTGCTAAGATAACTGGATGTGTGTATGTACCTCCCATCTAAAAAAAATAGCAAAAAATGCTCAAACTTTTTTTAAATATGATTATGTGATTTACAATTCTACTTTCATAAACTTACATTTCCAATGTTTGATAATGTGAAAGTTCCACCAGCAAAGTCTTCGGGCCTCAAAGAATTTTTCAAGCCTGCTTCTTGCAGCCTATTCACCTCTGCTGCTATTTGTAATATATTTTTAGCCTGCACATTTTTCACATTTGGCACTACAAGGCCTTGAGGTGTATCGATGGCAATCGTTATGTTATGTGCACCTTTAAATATTATATTTTCTTCTTTATCATCGATTGAACTGTTGAGTATTGGATATTTTTCTAAGCACTTCGATGCAGCCTTTATGAAGAATGGCATAAAGGTTAATTTTATGCTGCTTTGAGCTGCAATTTCTTTTACAGAATTACGCAATTCAACTAATTTGGTTATATTGATTTCTTCACTGCAAGCAAAGTGAGGTATTTTCTGTAAAATAAAGTTCAATATCCCATTAGGATATGTGTTCATCCATATATCTAATATATATATATATATATATATATATATATATATATATTAGGGTGGTCCTTAAAATGGTCATTTTTGAATTTTCTTGCTCCCAGCGGCTCAAATGGTTCCAAATTGATAAAAAACAATTCTCTGAAAGTTTTAGCTCTTAATATTAACGTTTAGATAGAGCGCAATTCAATCAAACTTCGTATGGAAAGAGCATGGAAAAAATTTTGAAAATTAAAAAAAATGTTTTAGGTATAACTTAGCAACAAATGAATGAGTTTTATTCATTTATTTGTTTGCTAAATTACATCTAAAGAACATTTTTAATATTTTTGAAAAATTTTCCATGCTATTTCCATACAAAACTTTGATTGAATTGCGCTCTATCTAAACGTTAATATTAAGAGCTTAAACTTTCAGAGAATTGTTTTTTATCAATTTGGAACCATTTGAGCCCTTGGGAGCAAGGAAATTCGAAAATGACCATTTTAAGGACCACCCTAAATATATATATATATATATATATATATATATATATATAAATTTAATTTCGAAATATTTACCAAAGCATCATTCATGGTCTTAAACATAACTTTCTGTACACCTTTAATGGGCACCATATAATCTTCTTTCACAACAGTCTCTGCTTGTTGAGATTGTCTACCGGCCATAATCTTTTCTTGAACTTCTGCTGACATAGGTTTACCATCAGCCGTTTGATTAAGATGAACTAAAATATCTTCTTTCAGAACCCTACCGCCTCTGCCTGTTGCTTGTACTGTACTCAGGTCTAACTATTGAAATAAAATAAGATTATTATTAACTAGCACATTGTGCAATCAGGCTAGTAAAAAATGAATTCATACTTTATTTTGCATTGCTATTCTTCTAACAGCAGGTGTAGCCAAAACCTTCTTACTTGTTTTCTCCTCTGCTACAGGCTCACTTGTTTCAGTTTTTTGTGCTGCAGCAGGCTTTGGAGCCTCACCTTCACTTGATGAACTTCCATCTATATAATATAATTAATAGATATACCTGCCATCATGTTTGTATCTATTCCAATTTCGTTATTTTTCTCACCTGTCTCAGCTTTATCAGCTCCATCATCTTCAATATCAATATCCACTAATGGCTTTCCCACAAGAGCAACAGAATCTACATCATGATGAATTTTTGCAACAACACCATCATAACGACTGGTAATTGTAACCGAGGCTTTATCACTTTGTACTTCACAAATGTTATCAAATTGCTCAACTTTATCACCGACTTTGACAAACCTGAGAAATTTAATCACTGTAGGCTCACATTACATGATCGTGTTAACATGATAAATAACATATCTTGAAGTCTAAGCAAATAAGCTTAGGAATGCATAAATATACATGTATATATATATATTAGGGTGGTCCTTAAAATGGTCACTTTCGAATTTCCTTGCTCCCAGGGGCTCAAATGGTTCCAAATAGATAAAAAACAATTCTCTGAAAGTTTTAGCTCCTAATATTAACGTTTAGATAGAGCGCAATTCAATCAAAGTTTGTATGGAAAGAGCATAGTAAAAAATTTTAAAATTTAAAAAAAATGTTTTAGTTGTAACTTAGCGACAAATGAATGAGTTTTATTCATTTATTTGTTCACTAAATTACATCTAAAAAACATTTTTAAAATTTTTGAAAATTTTTTCATGCTATTTCCATACAAAACTTTGATTGAATTGCGCTCTATCTAAACGTTAATATTACGAGCTAAAACTTTCAGGGAATTGTTTTTTATCTATTTGGAACCATTTGAGCCCCTGGGAGCAAGGAAATTCGAAAGTGACCATTTTAAGGACCACCCTAATATATATATATATAATATATATATATATATATATATATTATAATTTTGATATCAAAATAACTAATATCTTCAGAGCAATACATCAAATAAAGATGAATAATATTTTATATAATCTTTATTATTTACATACGTTTCCAAATATTTTAATTCTTAACATGAAAATTGATATTAATATATGAGAAATATTATATTATTATATGAAGTAGTTGCCAAATGTTTTGAATCTATTTTCTACAAAGTGCAAGAAAATATACAAAGCAAAGAAACTTGAATTATTTGGATATTCTAAATAATAAAATACTTTTACGATAATTAAATTGGAAAGATAAAAAATCATTTAAATAAATTAAATAATAATAGCTAAATCATTTTAAAAATATAAAAAGATATTTTGCAAGTGATAAGAATTTAGTTATAAAATTGAATACAGTGAATGATTAGCAAATAACACAAACAACGTATTAGTCTCAACTGCTATATAATACATATTTAAATATATGCTATATATATATATATATATATATATATATACATATTTAAATAATTTTGTTCATGTATAACACCAATTAAAAACCTTGTTAATTAAACTTACAAACTTTTTAACTCAACACTACATATAACTTTAATCGTCTATTTTATTTTTATTTAACTACCATGTCATTTACTTATATATAGTTTAACTTTTAGTTTGGCGTTTAAATTAATAATTCCTTGAACTGTGCTATTAGTTTTGTGATAGTTTCACAAGGATATTTATTTTTTATTCGCAAGGATAAATATGTTTAACTTTTGAATTAGTAATTCCTTGGACTGTGTTATTATTTTTGCGATAGTTTTATAAAGATATTTATTTTTTACCAATAAATGCTGGTCTTGTTATAGTCTGAAACCTGTGGATTTATTTGTAATTTTAATTACTACTTTTTGTATTTGGTGTTATGTCTGAACTGAATCATCTATAAATAAATTA